TTGCATGTTTGCAGGTACTATCGCAGTCAATTCCATAGAAGTTGTTCAGTTGCAAAGACGTAACAACTACAACATTTGCAAACATTTGCATATATTGTGTTTTTAATTTCCCCAAAACGTCTCTTACAACGTCAATAACATTTACATGTAATTCGCAATTTATCAAAAGTTTTTTTTCCGAATGTTAAAAACCAATTTAGGAAAACGAGTTTTTTCTTGTTGTCTAGTTTACAAGTGAACACCATTGATGAGATTCCCTGTATAGGACGCGATAATCGCCACTATGCTATCGCGCAACTCAACTTGTACGTGTAAACAGCCCTGCGATTGTTGCGACGATGAAAAATCGCCGGGAAGTTGCAACCAATTTTCAAGCATGTTCGAAACTCAGGCGATGGTCGCGCGGTGATCGCCGCAAAAAAGCGTGAAACAGTGTAAACGGCCCTTTTGGAGAGTCTCACTGGGGTTAACCGTGAGCCGTGAAACGGCTGAAAAATTAGCCGTGAGTCGTGAAAATGCGAAAAAATTAGCCATGAGGCGTGAGTATTTTTTTATAGCGAGTGAGCCGTGATTCAGTTTTGTACCTCAGAAGGACAGTCAACTCCGATGCAGGCGCGCGCTTGTAATTTTTTTTTTGTAAATTTTTTTGTAAATGCTCTGTTCGCAGAGTAGCTCATTTAGTGCATCGAAGATCTTAATTGAGCGGGAGCCTGCGTCACGCTAAGTGTGGCAAGAAACTAAAGCTGCTGGAAATAGAACGTTACAATATTGAATCGACATCTTTTTTTAGATTGCTAATAAAGTTATAAAATATTTTTTCATTCTTAGATAGTAGTATTTTGGGGATTTTTTTTTGTACATTTTAAAACTCCCGCTCATTTAGTGCATCGAAGACCTTAATTGAGCGGGAGCCTTTGTCACGCTAAGTGTGACAAGAAGCTGAAGCTGCTCGAAATAGAACGACATCTTTTTTTATAGATTGCTAATAAAGTTATAAAAGGTTTTTTCTTACTTAGATACTATTTTCGGCATTTTTCTTTTCCGCTCATATATTGCATCGAAGAAACACAAGAGATGACAATAATTATGCAAAAAAATAAATAAATAAAAGACCAACAATAAATAAAATAAAAAGGAAAAAATAAAATCATTAAACGTCTCCTCCAGGGAATCGATCCCGCTACCGTCAAACCTACATTGGATTTGCAAGCGGCGCCTTAACGCGGTGCGCCACTGGACCACTTCATTTACATAATAATAGACCACTTGACACTTTCACCGACCAATTTGACATTATAATTTCGATAGTTGCCTAGTTAGTGCAAGGTGTTATCCATCAGTGTCTAGGGGCCGGATAGCTTCTCCCTCACTGGCTTTTTAGTTAGCGCGAAGTTAGGACCAATTATCGGGATAGCATGGAAGAGCCGAAATCTCTAACCGGAATGTAAATCGATTCGCCGCCTCAGCTTCACAGAATGTCTCGGGGGAATCGTCCCAACCTTTTTTCGATTTTATGGTCATGGGTTCGAATCCCA